GAACCCGAGTCCCCCAAATAATGAAAAGAAGAAAGAGGCCTAGAGCCCAAAAGCCTCCTAGCCTAGTGTTGTGGCTAAGGGTAAAACGAGGCCAGCAACCCCTTGGCGAAAAGGGATTGAGGCAAAGAATCGACAAGAATACAGACATGTAACATCCCCCAAGCGCCCTCAATGCCACGCCTTAGCCAACGGGCTCCCGACCCTGGGCGCAAACTGCAGGCTCTTGCGCCTGGCAGCCATGAGCCGCTGGAGCACGCCCTCGTCCTTGTTGTTCGTCAACAGGCCAGCCCCCAACATCACGTTGTTGCCCGCCTGCTTTGGGGGCGGGCACGTCCGCATCAGGAGCTCCTCGCGGGTCATGCCGCCGGCGCCCATCGACAGCGGCGTCGACGGATCGCTCCCGCACGTGGACGACATGCCGTCGGGCGAGATGGCGGCGGCGTACCGAGCCACAGCCTCGGGGGCCGGCGTCTTGGGCACGGGCGTCAGCTGCCACTCCGACTCGTCGCCGTCGTCCCCCTCGCCGTAGACGCGCAGCTCGTTGTCCACCGGTGTGCGGACCCACAGGGAGCTGTCGCGGCGGTTGGTCGGCGTGGTGGGAGCCGACCGCGCGTCGCGGCTGCGGCTGCCGTTGATGTTGGAGAAGGCGTTGGGATCCATAGTCTTGCGCCGACGGCCGCCGCCACCACGGGGGGTTAGCGACGTGTCGATGCAGTAGGGTGCCTCTTCCAGCCACTCGTTCTCACGCTCGCAGCTGCAGACACGCCATGTTAGTTGCATGCACAGACAAAACACGGGATAGGAAAACAAGGCATCGACTTACTCAAGAACCCAGCTGACGCCCACGCACTGCACAACACCACCGCTCTCGCGGACCTTCTGGAGCGTCTGGTTGCTACCATCCTTGAAGACGACGTGGGTGATGCCGATCTTGGAAGCCGAGTCGGCCTCGTCCGGGATCCAATCCCACGACCTGAGGCATACAGCACCCATCTGCGTGAGCAGCTCCACAAAGATCTCGCTCGAATCGGCTCCCTCGCTTGTGCGCACGTCGACAAAGACGACGGCGCCCCGCAAAAGGGCCGGGTTGACATCACGCCTGGGGGTGCGGGCGGGCGTGCCCGTCGTTGACCAGCTGAACTCGGACCTGACGGGAGTGACAGGAGCCGAGGTCGTCTGGGGCGTTTGCTCCACCTCATCTTCTTCCTCGGCCTGGCAGTCCGCCTTGGTGGGCGAGTACGAGATAACAGTAGCGTTCCTGGTCAGGCCCTTGGTAGGACGCGGCCTGGTCGGCGTGGTGGCGGTCGGCAGTTTGGCAACGCTGTGCCTGCGGTTCTTCTTGGCCTCAGACAAGGCAGAGCGTGGTGTTGACTCATCCGCCGGCTTGAGTGGGATCTTGGACACGGTGTGGAAGGTGCGTGTGACAAAGCGCTGTGGCGTCACGGGCGGGACTCCAGGCGAGGCGTTGCCGTTCTGCTGCTGGTCCTGCATCATGAGGGCCGGGTCGATCGGGGTCTGATTCTCATCCCCATACTCTTGGCTCGCGTCCGATATAGAGTCGTCCATGCCAGCGTCGGCATAAAGCTTCTCTTCCAGCTGCGTGCGCTCCAGAAGAGACATCTCGTTGGCCTCGGCAGCGAGCTCGAAGTCCTCTTGGGTGATGGGCATGTCATCGAGCTCGGGCTCATCAACCTCCATATCCAACGGTTGTTCAACCTCAACCTGGGTGATGACGACCGACTCGTCGACTTGTAAGGCAGCACGAACCGACATTTCGTCGTCGAAGAAAGTCGGCTTTCCAGGTGAATCCTGGGCGCCACCGGCGAGGGTCTGCTCTACACAGATGGACGCCTCCTCCCGCGTCTCGATAGCAACAGCACCAACCAGAGCGGGCGACTCTGGCTGCAGCCCAATCTTGAGAGGGCTCGAGGCTCTCCAGCCATTGAGCTTCTCCGCCAGAGGGGTGAAGCCGAGACCACTAGATCCAGGCATTTTCTTGGTGACACTCTTGCTGGAGGACTGAACCCCAAGGCTCAGTCCGCGGCCCGCATGACGAGTTGAACGAGTTGAACGAGAAGGTGTCTCAACCGCTCGGGCCCGCCTTGATGCGGTAGCAGCTGGAGTTCCAAGCTCATCTTCGGACTCGGAATCGGCACCGGCGTAAGGATCGAGATCCTTCTGCCTCAGACCGAATGCTGGCCTAGTGGATGCATTCTCCTCCGAGGCCACCTGGACAGTTGGCTCATCCACCTCCATCGGCTCTCCCATCTCAAGGGGCTCGGTCTCCAAGGGCTCAGTCTCCTCGCACACTTGCTCCTGGGTGACCTCCACTTCTTCATGCGACGCGGCTTGCTCCGCATTCACCCTTGCCACGACGCCCATCACGGTGCCCTTCAGCGCAGGGTCGGCGTGGCGAGGAAGCACAGCAGAAAGGCGGCCAGGGAAATGTTGCCTGGTCGGTGATTCCAGGACGTGGACCGCTGCTGGTTGGAACTCGGCGTCAAGGCCGACAGGGGCAGTCAAGAGCACCGGCTCTGTAGCAGGTGATTGGAAGTCCACCTCGGCCAACCGCTCCTCCTCATTCTCTTTCTCCTCTTGGTCATTTTCCTCCACTATCTTGGCCTCAGCTGGGCGTTTGGGCTTTGCGGGCGCGAAGAGTCGCTTGGCAGGTGAGTTGAGCAGGGAGGCCTTCATCGGGGAACGAGAGACGTCGCCGAGCGAAGGCACGGCCTGCATTGTTTTCATGGGAGACTTTGGCCGTTTGGCCGGCGAGAAAAGCAGAGAGGTTTTGAGTGGTGATTTGGCATCCTGCGCGGCAGCGCTCTCGTCTTTGGGCAGGGCCAACAAGGGCGCTCCGACACCCCTGCGGGCTGGAGACTTGATAGTATCCTTGCAAGGTGATGCGGCTGGCCGACGGGCGGGGCTGCTCAGCAGGTTGGTGGCGGCGGTGATGGTGAGATCTGGGGGGTTGAGTGTGGGCTTCTCCTCACCGTCGGCGGTGGGTGCCAGGACCGGGGGCTCCAGTTCAGCACGAACAGTCGGGGCGGGCCTGACGGGGCTCTTCATGAGTGGCCTCTGAGAAGCTTCGTCGTCCCCAGCCAGCTCGTCGTCGGACTCATCGCCGCGATCCGCGCTCTTGGCGCGGGCCAGCTGCGTGATCCTCTTGGGGCCAAGCGGGGTCAGCGGCCTCTCCTCCTTCTGGGCGGCGGGGGCGGCCGTTGGCTTGGCACCGCCCCGAGTGGCACGGGCAGGAGCTGACGGAGCAGCAGCGGCCGCCCTGCGCAATGGCCGGGCGCGGAGGCCGGCGGTGGCGGGCTCTGTAACGACTGCGGCAGGGGCTGGAGCTGGTGTGGCCTTGACCCTCTTGGCCTTGGGAGCTGTGGGAGCAAGATTCTCTTTCTCGGGCTCTTCGAACTTGACCGATTTCTTGACCGTCGCCTTGGCTGCCGTGGAGGCGATGGTAGCGCGGGCTCTGGTAGCTGGTTTCAGTGCCGTGGTAGCCTCCTCTGGTTCGGTGGGTGGCTCTGTCTTCTTTGCTCTTGTTGTCCTGGTTGCACGCACGGGGGGTGCTGTCAACGGCTCCTCTTTTGCCGTGGCTATCTTCTTTGCCGGACGGCCTCTTGGTTTGGGAGCAGGTGCTGGCTCTGCGGCCTTTGTCTGGTCCGCCGCCTCCGCCTTCTTTGGCCTCCCTCGGACAGCCCGGGCGGCTGTCCTCAGCTTCACCGTATTCTGTGCGGACTCAACGCCACCGAGCTCGTCGTCGCCGTCGTCGTCGTCGGCATCGTCAGACCGAAGCCGCTTCCTGCTGATCGATGCGGCGGGAGCGGTCTTTTTCGCAGCGGCGGCGGCCGTGACAATTTTAGTGGCAGGTTTATCCGAGTCGGCCTTTGCCCGGCTCCGGGTGATGCGCTTCGGGGCGTCCATGGTGGGCGACGGGTTGGTGTGGTTGCTAGTGGTTAGTAGGCGCGTTTGTCGAGCTGTGACTTTGCGCTCTGCATTGGGTGAGCTGGGAAGCTAGGGATAAAAAGACGTATCGACGGAGGGCGTGAATCCAAACATGCAGGCCAAGTCCTTCCACATTGGTGTTTACGAGGTGGAACAAATTGTGGGGTGTGACTGGGGTCGCTTGGTGGTGGCCAGGCAACGACGCGTGCCCACACGCTGCGCGCCTGCTGGCAGCGAATCAATCAAATCACGAAAAGTCTAGACAGGCCGGCAGCCAATCCCAATGACGTAGCCCTGCAAACCGCGAGTTTACTTTTCCTACCAATTGCGTCTAGTCTGGCCAAAGTAAACACGGCCATCACCAATGGCATTGCCTGCCCACGAAGACAGCCATCCAGGCTCACAGGGTCATGCTCTGCATACAGGCACACAGGGCATGCTTTCACCGCTGGAGCACCACGATTCCCAAGACCGCTCATGCAATGAACCGGGGCTCACACGAGAATATGGATCACATATGTGTGAAAAAGTGCGGTGGTTGGCTGCACACCGTATATTGTGCTGTGTTGGCGGTGTTGATGCATGACAGCCGCGAATTCAACGCTCTCGATGCCAAATGGGACAGGAATAGTCCCAGTAGGTCTCAGAGATCTGGCCATAGCGAGGTCTGCATGTTTGATGGGGCCTTCGAATGCATGTTAGCCGGCCTATTGGAACGAGGTGATACTACTCCCGATCGGAGCAGCCTTGGGTGTAAGCGAAGGCGACGGTCACAATTCAGCCCTGCCATTTCACCAGGGTACACGTTGGTCCACCATGTCCCCGTCTAGTATGACTTTCACTTGTATTTTTCCAACTTGCTATCGCTTATGTGCATTTGCTTTCGGATTATCCAAATCGAAGACACAAGAAGCTGGCCATTGGATTGTGTGAGGGCGTTTGCCAAGTTAAAATCAACTAACCCTACCGTTTTTCCACCCGGGAGTTACTAGCGACGCCTTCAGACATATGCACTGTGGGGATGGGCGTTTTGGTACTCTACCTGAGGCCTCATTCCTGCAAGCCGCGATAGATATGCCGAAATTTCCTAGCGTCGAAGCCGGGATCTCTGACAGCTACTATGGCGCAGCATGGCGGACTGCCTTATGGCTGACAGCACACCCCACCCTGGGCAACGTCACAGGAGGCCAGTGCATGTGACATAGGCGGGCTAAATTAGGTGGTCGCGACACGGGTCTGAGGATTCCGGCAAGTCAATTGTGATGGTGATGATAAATTGTCGCGAAGAGACTGCCCAGGTGCAAAAATCGACCCAAGATGGGAATTTGCAGGCGGCCTTGATAACCAACTGGTCTAGTGTGTAAACACCATCAAGCACGTGCGGTCAAGGCGGGAGGCGTCGAACCCCTGCATGACATGGGCAAGCCTTCACAGGCCAAGGCGAGGCGCTGCAAGCCACAGGCCAGTTTGTGTGGGTCGATCGGGCTGCGAAGGGACGGGAAGGCAGGGTTGGGAACAGAAAGGGACCGGAAAACAGGGCGGCTTGAAACGCGCGGGCGGCTCTAGAAGCAGAAAAGACACCACGCCAACCGCTTGATGCTATCAATCTCGATAGCATATACGGCCAGCCAGCTGGCATCCAGGCTAAAACGAGGCCGACTTCCTCAGTGCTGGACCTGCATGGCATATTGATTCAAAACGGACGGAGACGGGAAGTCGGTCGCTGCCCCCAAAGACTGGTCATTTCTCTCGTCTGCTCCCGACCTTGGCACCGATCCATCACTGCTCGGCCGAAACCAATGGCAAACCTTGCTGCGCTTTAATCCCCACGCAGACAGCCTTTCCGGTGCTTCCCTCCCACCCTACGGGCATGCGGGCTAATTATAGTAAATATGGTCAGCAAGCTCGGGCTCGGGATGATGCCAACATGAACAACAGCCGGGCCTCAGTACGACAAGCCACTTGCGGAGCGTCGAAGCTGCCGGCTCACCAGCTTGGCCCACTGTGTTACGCGTCTGTTTTGGCTTCGCCTCCTGCCAGAGCCACCCGAGCCCCCCTCTCCATCTGACCTCAGCGCCAGGGAACAACCCGCTCGGCGGGCGGTTGGGGGTGGCTCGTCCAGCCGTTTAGACGTTTTTGTCGCGCCTTCATGTTGTGTATAACATCCTCATGTGCTGCCTCGACTCGGCTCTGTTCGCTTGTACGACCAGACAATGATGCAACCCGTTTGCGGTTTCTTGCTCTTTGGCGGTTGCTGTGTATAAGAATACCGCTGGCCGGGAAGCCCAGCGGCGCGGGCGCATCCATAATCTCCCGAAAATCTCGGTCCATCCATCTTATTTATTTTCTTCACGCCCTGCCTGTCGTTTTCTTCTATCCATGGATAGACGGCCACAGCATTTCAGCATTTCCATAATGCGCTTCCTCCTACTGGCAACCGTGGCCGCCGCCACGGCCATCCCGCCAACATCCCAGGCCACGGCCGAGCTGGCTGAGCGCGCGCTGCCCAACTCGCCCAGCGGAGGCTACGCGCCACAGGTCGTCGACTGCCCACAGAGCCGGCCCAAGATCAGGAGCGCCAGCTCGGGGCTGTCGCCCGAGGAGTCCAAGTGGTTAGAGCAGCGGCGCAAGGCCACCGTCAGGCCCATGACGGATTTCCTGAAACGCGCGGGCATCAAGGGCTTTGACGCGGATGCCTTCATGTCGCGGGCCGAGGCGGACGTGGCCAACCTGCCCAACGTGGCCATCGCCGTCAGCGGCGGTGGCTACCGCGCCCTGATGAACGGCGCGGGCTTCCTGGCGGCCGCCGACGACCGCACGCCCGGCAGCACGGCGCAGGGCAAGGGCAGCATCGGCGGCCTGCTCCAGTCGGCCACGTACCTCGCCGGCCTCTCGGGCGGCGGCTGGCTCGTGGGGTCCATGTTCACAAACAACTTCAGCTCGGTCCAGGAGCTGCGGTCCAACCAGCGCGTCTGGAAGTTCGACCGCTCCCTGCTCGAGGGGCCCGCGGCCGTCTCGGGCTCGGCCGTCTCGCGCGTCCTGGAGCCCTTCTCGTACTGGACCGACATACTCAACCAGGTCTCGGCCAAGCGCAGGGCCGGCTTCGACACGTCGCTGACCGACTATTGGGGCCGCGCGCTGGGGTACCAGCTCGTCGACGCCAAGGACGGCGGGCCGGCCTACACCTTCTCGTCCATCGCGCAGTCCGACTCGTTCAAGAGCGCGAGCACGCCGTTCCCCTTCATCGTGGCCGACGGCCGCGCCCCCGGCAGCCGTATCATCAACCTCAACTCGACCGTGTTCGAGTTCGGCCCCTTCGAGCTCGGCACCTGGGACCCGACGGCATACGGGTTCGCGCCGCTCGAGTACGTCGGCTCCAACTTCTCGGCCGGCGCCGTCCCCGAGGGAGGCAGCGACAACAAGTGCGTGCGCGGCTTCGACTCGGCCTCGTTCGTCATGGGCACCAGCTCCTCGCTTTTCAACCAGTTCCTGCTCCAGAACATCACGTCGGCCGGCTCGGGCATCCCGCAGATCGTGCTCGACGCGCTGCGCGGCGTGGCCGCGCAGGTCGACAGCCTCAACAACGACATCGCCTCGTACAAGCCCAACCCGTTCCTGGGCTACAACCCCCAGTCGGCCGGCGGGCTCGCCGCCTCGGCCGAGCTCTCGCTCGTCGACGGCGGCTCCGACGGCCAGAACATACCGCTGCAGCCCCTCATCCAGCCCGCGCGCAAGGTCGACGTCGTCTTCGCCGTCGACTCGTCGGCCGACACGAAATACAACTGGCCCGACGGCTTCGCCCTGCGCGCCACCTACGACCGCTCCCTCGGCCGCATCGCAAACGGCACCGCCTTCCCCGCCGTGCCCGACCAGGCCACCTTTTTGGCCCGCGGCCTCAACAACCGCCCGACCTTTTTTGGCTGCGATGTCGCCAACCTCACATCGTCGTCGTCGTCATCGCCGCGCCCCGGCCAGCCCGTCCCGCCCCCCCTCGTCGTCTACCTCCCCAACGCCCCCTACACGGCCATGCCCAACGTCTCCACCTTGTCGCCGTCGTACGCCCCGGCCCGCCGCGACGACATCATCGTGAACGGCTACAACATGGCCACCCAGGGCAACGGCACCCTCGACCGCGACTGGCCCGCCTGCGTCGCCTGCGCCGTCGTCCACCGCAGCCTCGTCCGCGCCTCCGCCGCCGTCCCGCCCCAGTGCGCCGACTGCTTCGCCAAGTACTGCTGGGACGGCAAGCTCGTCAGCGCCAGCGGTGGCGGCAAGAACAACAACGCGTCCACGAACCCGGACCTGTACGAGCCCGCCTTCAAGGTCTCGAACCAGACCACCGACAATGGCGATGAGAGCAAGTCTGCCGGCTTCGCGGCCCTGCGCGTGGTTGATAGGGGCCTCGTCGGCTCTTTGGTCGCGTTTGCTGTGCTGGCCGCAGTCGCGTAAATATCTGGATATGAAGCCCCCCCCCCCCCCTTTTTTTTTCTTGCTTTGTCATTTCGATATGTGTTTGGTAATGTTCTTGTTTTTTTGTGTCCTCTAATACCACCATTTGGTCCGGGATAGCGCTGTGCATATCTGGTTGAAACAGGAACGGCGCCGGCGTTGATATACTGATGACAGGGTTAAACGTGTACTTTTATCTTGTATTTATTCGGGGAACCAAGGAAGCATAGCCCCAGGGCTTTGCGGGATAGATCTTCCATTCTAAAATTCGATGCCATGTTCTTTTTCTCAGTCATTTCTAGTGACTGTGTACAGTTGATCCCACCGTCCGCATTTAGAGCTTGGCAGCTTCCCGGTAGGGCCCCAATTAGGTGTTTGGCGGAACGTCAGGCTTTTATTTGGCCGCCCTGTCCCCTGTCAACCATACCAGAAAGAAACCAAGCAAAGAATTAGCCGTCAAATAGAAAAACGCCACAGAGGTAGAGGCGGCAAGTAGAGACATTATCATGGCGTTCCCAACCCGAGCGTGCAACTGGCGCCAAGGTGGCAACAAAGAACAGATGCTTGACGTGAACTGTGCCATCATCATATTTAGGTACCATCCCATAATGCAAAAGAAGGTGCTCGCTTGGAGAGCTACCCAGTCCGTCCAGTAAACATCATAGCCCCTGAAAGCACCCCCCCCCNCCNCNCNCNCACAACAACAACACACACACAC